CTCCCTCCCTTGCTCCTGGCTCGAGGGGTAGAGGGTGGATCAGAGGGGAAAGGACACGGAGAAGTTAGATAGGCGCTCACTACTAAGGGGAAGGCCAACCACTAAGGCAAGAGGACGACTACTTAAGAAAAACTATCGATGCCCCTGGGGCCACCCCTTGGTCTTCAGGGGCAGAGAGTTGAGCATAATAACAAAGGAAGATTAACAAGGGCGACATATGCTAACAACGGGGGTGGGGGGGTGAGGAGGGGGGAAGGGGTCTCACTTACAGAGAGCACTTTCTTAGGCAGGTGTTAACGAGAGAGGCAACAAGGGCCACTCTCTGGAAGGCTGTGTGCTGATGGTGAGAGTGGCACTCTCTCTCGCAGGCAGTACTGACGATGGCACTCTCTGGCAGGCTGTGTGCTGAGGGTGACTGTGGAGATATGTCTCCTAGACAACTGACACTGGCAATTTGTGTGCTGATACCCACTAGCTGTCCACTAATTACATACTGGTTGCCCAATAGGTGCCCACTAACTACCTATTTGATCGCCTATTGGGCGCCTGCACAATTCTTAAATTTCATCTGTTCTCCCCTAACAGCTGATCTTATGAACAAATCCACAAGGGCCGTGACGAGGATTCGAACCTGCGTCCGGGAGCATCCCAGACACTGCCTTAATCTACTGAACTACGACAGGATACTCTCTGTGTGTGAGCTGATCTTACCCTTGGGCTTTTCCCTGCCTCGTGGAATCCACACAAGTAATCCAATGGTCCAGTGGTTATCCTTTTCCTGGTTGTCCTGCCATCTTAGCTCCCTCACCTGCGAATCGTGTGTCAAAGTTCAGATCTATCTTATTACTTAATGTGTCTATTGGAGATCTGGCTGACCACCATCTCTTGCTTCTCTGTTTGGCTTAGAGTCTGTGAAGTCTCCACTACTTGCTCGTTTTCGTGTCCATTGAGGCATGAGGATATATATTTCTTGGGTATGATTTAATGTTTCCCAGTCGGATTGCAATCCTTTATTATGTCTTATAGTGTCCCCCAAATGTGTTCGTAAGACTTTATGGGAAGGGTATACATAAACCTATATGGAAAATGTTGTCAGCTTGACGTATTCTTACTAATGTATATCTGTGTGTAAGGCAGCGGTTGAAGCAGCAGCAACATTCTTAATACTGTTGGCCCTGGTGCTAACTTGGGGGTTAAACAATGTCTATAGCTCGTTACTGCCTCTGAAGCTACATTATAATCGACATATTCTAAGGGGGTTTAAGTAGTATATATCGTCTCCCTCTTCGGAACACCTTTTTTTGGATAACTTGCAAATGATCTTCTGCATAATATTCTAAGGTTTCAAGATCCTTCTCGTTCTGGTAAATTGTTAGCAATATAATGTAGTAAAATTGTTAAGTATGCTATATCTTACATAGTTATTATAAATATTGAAATGTAGTTATCGTGCGGGCTGTTTAGTTACTTTTTTAAAGAAAGTACAGCAGCTTTCTCAAAGAAACTTTCAGAGCTGGGAAGCATCTTTGTGTCTCTGATGAGAGCGGTCCCAGCAGCCCTAGCAGCGACCTGCCGCGCCTGTCATGGAGAGAAGAGGGAAACCGCACCGAGCATCCAGTAGTTTGTGGGAAAGAAAGTTGTTGTGTGTAAAGTGTCCCCATATGCACTACTACCGCGGTGGTCAGGCGGTGTTGAGGTAGTGGCGTGCCGGCGGCCATACTGGGTGCTGGGACTCACTTTACTTATTTTTGGAGATTGATCGATGAAGATTAAGCCACCGAAAAGGTGGCACGGGCATGAATAGCCCGTAAGTGGTGGCCCTTTTGAGCCATTACCAGTATCAAGAGCTGATACTGGAGATCTGTGGAGGTGCAACTGCACCCTGCGTGACGGGCGATGTCTCCCGTGTTACTGGTGGCTGTATTTTTGGAGTCGTTAAATTGATATATATAGTCGTACTGGTTTAAAGCTTTCTCCTAATAATTACTTTCTCTCACCTAACTTTAAAAAGTAGAGAGAGAGACGTGAACAATACTGTGACTGATACTACTACTACCCACCACCACTACTACTACTAATAATATAATTATATTTTGTATAATCTCCTTATACAAAATAGAGAGGATGAGATGAGGGCGGTTACTGAGCAGTAGTAGGCATCCTATAGTACTCGCGTAGTTATAAAGCCTGTAATGACACGCAGGATTTCGGGGGTAACTTAAGATATTGTGTACAGTTCTTAGTTGTAGGGTTATAATACGGATTAAGATGTCTGGTAACATATACATAAATGATTAGAGAATAACTGAGGGAAACACGGAAATAGGGAGGGAGAGAGAGAGGCAAAATTAATTTAGCTCAGCAAGTTAGTGTTCTTAAGCTAGTAACACAGTTTAATGTGTATATCAACACTAGTTTCGAGCCCGACCACAAGTACAGTCTGTAAGATGAGCAAATAGCATATCTAGTTTCATATATGTATAGATCTATATACATTTATACGTCTCTATACATAGAGGTGTATAGAAGTTCACCCAGCAGTGAATGTGTACCTGGTTGTTAAACGATTACACATTACCGGGACGACCGGTAAAATACGTCCTGATCGTATCCCGGGTCGTATTTTTCCCCGGAATAAGACGGGTCGTATTCCGGGGAAAAATTAGGATTAATGACCTGCCCGAAACGCTATGCGTGCTAATGGTTTTACAAGAATTTAAGACCTCTTGTATATATACATAAAAAAATAAATAAACTATGTATAACTGGTCTCTCACCCTGTCCACGGAGGACAGAAGAAAATGTATATAATATGGTTAGCATTGTAAATGTGTGGCCACGTCTGTGGTTGAAAATAATATAACAATTTAGTAGCTACATTTAGCAAATTGGGTATATTTGACTAAAATTTCTGGTAATAGATTATTTTGAGTGAAATATGAACACATTTCTTGAATGTTTGTTATAGATCTACTCCATCCCACATTGTGACGGAGAGTGTGAGAATAATTTTGCTGACACAGTTTACATTTGGTCAGGTCTACATCAGCAGGTAATGCAAATTCCCAGAAATGCTTATAAACGAGTTTTAAGTCGAGCAGTAGTAATATCTATAGGAGTCTGCTGATGTTATTGGCTGCTCCAAAGATGTGTGGCTATTCCTTCTTCTCCTGTCTTATCCTTAATCCTTATCCTGACTCCTTCCCAGTGCTATATAGTCGTAATGGCTTGGCGCTTTCACTTGGATAGTTTCCTTGTTTCCTTCCTTTCTTCTTGCATGATAGTATCTTCTTGAGGTTATCTTGAGATGATTTCGGGACTTTTTAGTGTCCCCGCGGCCCGGTCCTCGACCAGGCCTCCACCCCCAGGAAGCAGCCCGTGACAGCTGACTAACACCCAGGTACCTATTTTACTGTAGTATGGTGATAGATGGAATTGTTAGTGTCGATTTCACTTTTCCTCGGATCTACAAGGTTTTGTTGAAGTTCTTAATGCATTATTGTTCTCAGACTGCTTAATAGGGAAGGCAAGATGATAGTCAACTCCTTCTTTGACGGCAGTTTTTTTTTGCCAAATCATCAGCTCTATCATGCATTCGGAGGTCAACATGTGAGAGGTTATCTTTTAAATCTCTTTATATTTTATTTTATTGGTAGATTCTCATTGCATCTCAAAATGTTCGTCTTGTGTGTGTGTGTCGGATCCCCTCATCGTTTGGATAAAGAAACCGAATTTAGTCTTTCAGTGTAAATATGGTTTCAGAAGACATGATAATTTAACGTTTCATTTCATTTAAGCCAAATGCTAAGATTAAAATCTTTATAAGTCAGTATTTGACTTTAGTCTACTGGAAAATGGTAGAAAGCTACGACTCGAGACGAGCTTCGTCCATCCCAGCGCGTAGTGTAAAAACCCACAATATATATGTATATAATATTAAACCTTTAAATAAAGGTAACCTTTAAATACACAATAAAGGAAAAAAAAAAGGGAAGGGGGTGGTAGGAGAAAAGCACACAGAAACTGTATTGGAGGGGACCCACATTCCCTCCAATGCGTTATGTGTGGTTTCCTCCGAGGCTATGGGTCCCCCTTCTTCCGGCCAGAGGTGGTACTCCCTTCTAATATTAAATTATATTGAGAACAATTTTCTCTTATACCGTGTGAGCCATCGTGGCAGTTGGTCTTCTGTGAATCTTCCCTCGAGCAGTTTACGAGCTCGTAAGTGCTGCGAAATCATTCTCGGCTTCAGGGGCTATTTCACGAAAGCACTTACGCAAGCAGTTACGAACCTGTACATCTTTTCTCAATCTTTGGTGGGTTTGTTTACAATTATTAAACGGTTAATGAGCTCCGAAGCACCAGGAGGCTGTTTATAACAATAACAACAGTTGATTGGGAAGTTCTCATGCTTGTAAACTGTTTAATAAATGTAACCAAAGCCGTCAAAGATTGAGGAAAGATGTACACGTTTATAGGTGCTTGCGTAAGTGCTTTCGTGAATCTGGCCCCAGATTGTTATTGTTACTTTACGATCTCGTAGCCACGCCTTCCTGCCCTCTGCCCCTACCAGGGCGGGAACTTGGCACCTGGATGTAAAGTGATTAGCAGATCGTGTTCTAGGGGTAAAATGACGTCTCAAGACTAACCCTCCAAATATTAGGAAAAAAAAAATCTTATCTTGAACAATAGTAAAGTTACTTAACGTTCTTTTATGTATATTCATATACATAAATATTTACTCATACATACTAAGCTTAATACATAACACATGTATATCTTCATACACATTCGTAGGTGTATTGAAACAATAGACAAAAAATAACAACAATTTAATTGTTAAATATATAACATTAGTATCCTGTACAACAACACCAGATATAAATACATTTTTCTTAATTGTATAATTGTGAAATATTGTGTAATGATTTGTAAGAATAATGGTTGTATAAATAACGGTTATTGAAGTCGTGGTTGTAAAAGTCGTGGTTGTAAAAGTCATGGTTGTAAAAGTCGTGGTTGTAAAAGTCGTGGTTGTAAAAGTCGTGGTTGTAAAAGTCGTGGTTGTAGAAGTCGTGGTTGTAACAGTCGTGGTTGTAAAAGTCGTGGTTGTAAAAGTCGTGGTTGTAAAAGTCGTGGTTGTAACAGTCGTGGTTGTAAAAGTCATGGTTGTAAAAGTCGTGGTTGTAAAAGTCGTGGTTGTAACAGTCGTGGTTGTAAAAGTCATGGTTGTAAAAGTCATGGTTGTAACAGTCGTGGTTGTAGAAGTCGTGGTTGTAAAAGTCATGGTTGTAACAGTCGTGGTTGTAACAGTCGTGGTTGTAGAAGTCGTGGTTGTAAAAGTCGTGGTTGTAAAAGTCGTGGATGTAAAAGTCGTGATTGTAAAAGTCGTGGTTGTAAAAGTCGTGGTTGTAAAAGTCGTGGTTGTAAAAGTCGTGGTTGTAACAGTCGTGGTTGTAACAGTCGTGGTTGTAGAAGTCGTGGTTGTAAAAGTCGTGGTTGTAACAGTCGTGGTTGTAACAGTCGTGGTTGTAGAAGTCGTGGTTGTAAAAGTCGTGGTTGTAAAAGTCGTGGTTGTAAAAGTCGTGGTTGTAAAAGTCGTGGTTGTAAAAGTCGTGGTTGTAAAAGTCGTGGTTGTAACAGTCGTGGTTGTAACAGTCGTGGTTGTAGAAGTCGTGGTTGTAAAAGTCGTGGTTGTAAAAGTCGTGGTTGTAAAAGTCGTGGTTGTAAAAGTCGTGGTTGTAAAAGTCGTGGTTGTAAAAGTCGTGGTTGTAAAAGTCGTGGTTGTAAAAGTCGTGGTTGTAGCAGTCATGGTTGCAGAAGTTGTGGTGGCACCAGTTATGGTTGTAGAAGTCATGGTTGTAGAAGTCATGGTTGTAGAAGTCATGGTTGTTGAAGTCATGGTTATAGCAGTCATGGTTATAGCAGTCATGGTTGTAGAAGTCATGGTTGTAGAAGTCATGGTTGTAGCAGTCATGGTTATAGACGTAATGGTTGTAAAGGTTATGACTGTAGAAGTCCTAACTATACACATCATGGTTGTAAAAGGTCAGCGTTACAGGTCATGGTTATAGAGGCCATTGTTAAAATGGTTGTAGAGGTCTGAGTCTCAGATCCCATGGTTGTAGCCGTCGTAGAGAGAGAGAGAGAGAGAGAGAGAGAGAGAGAGAGAGAGAGAGAGGGAGAGAGACATAGAGACAGGGAAAGACAAAGACAGAGAGACAGTGGCAGAGAGAGGCAGACTGAGACATAGAGATACAAAGAGCCAGCAGATAGAGAGAGAGAGAGAGAGAGAGAGAGAGAGAGAGAGAGAGAGAGAGAGAGAGAGAGAGAGAGAGAGAGAGAGAGAGAGAGAGAGAGAGAGAGAGACAGACAGACAGACAGACAGACAGACAGAGAGAGAGGACAGACAAAGAAAGACAAAACCAGATAGAGAGTGACTGACTGAGACATAGAGATACAAAGAGCCAGCAGACAGAGACAGAGCGAGACACAGAGACACAGAGAGAGAAAGGGTCACTGGTACTTCGCGAGGCCGTCCTGCAGGGACCTGAAGGCGGTGTAGGTGTTGTGGTCGTAGTCTGCAGGCGTATACTTCCCAGAGATCCTGCTGCCGGAGCCGGACCCCGTCGTGACATAGTCCGAGACGTCTGAGTATCTGTGTGCGCACGTGGAGGGAGTGGATGGAGGGACGGAGGGAGTGGATGAAGGGGGCGGAGGGAGTGGATGAAGGGGGCGGAGGAGGGAGGGATAGAAGAGCGGATTTAGTCTCGTCTGGGCATGGATGATCTATGGAAAAATAATTTACAATAGATGCCTAAGTACTGTGGAAATATTTACAACACAGATACTATTTACAATAGACACGTCAGCATTGATGATATTTACAATAGACGCCTGAGCACTCTACTATTTACAATAGACGCCTGAGCACTCTACTATTTACAATAGACGCCTGAGCACTCTACTATTTACAATAGACGCCTGAGCACTCTACTATTTGCAATAGACGCCTGAGCACTCTACTATTTACAATAGACGCCTGAGCACTCTACTATTTACAATAGACGCCTGAGCCCTCTACTATTTACAATAGACGCCTGAGCACTCTACTATTTACAATAGACGCCTGAGCACTCTACTGTTTACAATAGACGCCTGAGCACTCTACTGTTTACAATAGACGCCTGAGCACTCTACTATTTACAATAGACGCCTGAGCACTCTCCTGTTTACAATAGACGCCTGAGCACTCTCCTGTTTACAATAGACGCCTGAGCACTCTCCTGTTTACAATAGACGCCTGAGCACTCTCCTGTTTACAATAGACGCCTGAGCACTCTACTGTTTACAATAGACGCCTGAGCACTCTACTATTTACAATAGACGCCTGAGCACTCTCCTGTTTACAATAGACGCCTGAGCACTCTCCTGTTTACAATAGACGCCTGAGCACTCTCCTGTTTACAATAGACGCCTGAGCACTCTCCTGTTTACAATAGACGCCTGAGCACTCTCCTGTTTACAATAGACGCCTGAGCACTCTACTGTTTACAATAGACGCCTGAGCACTCTACTATTTACAATAGACGCCTGAGCACTCTCCTGTTTACAATAGACGCCTGAGCACTCTACTATTTACAATAGACGCCTGAGCACTCTACTATTTACAATAGACGCCTGAGCACTCTACTATTTACAATAGACGCCTGAGCACTCTACTATTTACAATAGACGCCTGAGCACTCTACTATTTACAATAGATGTCGCAGTACTATAATAATATTTACACTGTACTAAAATATTGTACTACAAATACTAAAGTACTATGAAAGCCGTGCAAAACATTTACAACATTTACACCAAAGCCACTACGGTCTATTTGCAACATTTACACCAAAGCCTCTACGGTCTATTTGCAACATTTACACCAAAGCCACTAAGGTCTATTTGCAACATTTACACCAAAGCCTCTACGGTCTATTTGCAACATTTACACCAAAGCCTCTACGGTCTATTTGCAACATTTACACCAAAGCCTCTACGGTCTATTTGCAACATTTACACCAAAGCCACTAAGGTCTATTTGCAACATTTACACCAAAGCCTCTACGGTCTATTTGCAACATTTACACCAAAGCCACTACGGTCTATTTGCAACATTTACACCAAAGCCTCTACGGTCTATTTACAACACTTACAACGCGAGCTATCCGCGAGGCTCACAATGTATGTGTGTACATTCACCTAGTTGTCCTTACGGGGGTTGAGCTCTGGCTCTTTGGTCCCGCCTCTCAACTGTCAATCAACTGGTGTACAGATTCCTGAGCCTACTGGGCTCTATCATATCTACATTTGAAACTGTGTATGGAGTCAGCCTCCACCACATCACTTCCTAATGCATTCCATCTGTTAACTACTCTGACACTGTAAAAAATCTTTCTAATGTCTCTGTGGCTTATTTGGGTACTAGGTTTCCACCTGTGTCCCCTTGTTCGTGTTCCACCCGTGTTAAACAGTTTATCCTTATCTACCCTGTCAATTCCCCTGAAAATTTTGTTGGTGGTTATCATGTCTTCCCTTACTCTTCTGTCTTCCAGGGACGTGAGGTTTAGCTCCCGTAGCCTTTCCTCGTAGCTCATTCCTCTCTGTTCAGGGACTAGTCTGGCGGCATCCCTCTGAATCTTCTGAGTGAATAAATGAATGAATCCTCTGAATGTGTGTGTGTGTTTTACCTAAGTGTTTTACCTAAGTTTAGTTACAGGATGAGAGCTACGCTCGTGGTGTCCCGTCTTACCAACACTCTTTGTCATATAACTCTCATGGTGTTGGGTTCATGGTGTGTGTGTGTGTGTGTGTGTGCTGTGTTATCCTGTTGTGGTGTGCTCCAAAGAACACAAGACAACACCGGGAGCTGTTGACCTCAACACTGTCACAAGCAAAACCTACCAGACCCAGACCCAGCCATGTTGAGTCACACGTCAAAGGCCTCTGCAGTAGCACCACGTCCAGCCTGACTCTTAAGACAAACCATGCTTAAGACAAACCATGCTTAAGACAAACCATGCTTAAGACAAACCATGCTTGAGACAAACCATGCTTGAGACAAACCATGCTTGAGACAAACCATGCTTGAGACAAACCATGCTTGAGACAAACCATGCTTAAGACAAACCATGCTTCACGTGCCATAAGTATAGGAAGGAACAAGAAGAAGAGCTTGGCCGGGGCTGGAGAGAATAAGCATTATCTGTAATAAGAGTTTGACTGCATGCAAGAGCCAGAAAAGGGCACAGTGCTGAAGAGAGAGCAGCGGACCCAGGCAGGGGCCAAGCAGCACAATTCCCGGGACCCTCGATGTCTTATATTTCTCCCAGAAGACTTTCGGACACAGGGCAGACGCCCCCCCCCTCTCTCTCTCTCTCTCTCTCTCTCTCTCTCTCTCTCTCTCTCTCTCTCTCTCTCTCTCTCTCTCTCTCTCTCTCTCTCTCTCTCTCTCTCTCTCTCTCTCGTTCACAACACGCAGTAGGTTAAGACAATGATGCAAGGAGGCATGCAAGACCAGCGGTGCTTCCACAAACTCTTCACTACTCCTGCTGCTAAACTGGCGACGTCAACACAGCAGCATGCACTTACATGACCATCATAACAGCAGGAGGCAGCAGCTCTCGCACCTGACATATTCACTCACCTTCTGATGGCCGCGAGGAACCCTATACCGGGCCCGCTGACCATGAAGGTGATGAGGGCCCCCACCAGCACGAAGGGCATGAAGGAGGCGAAGATCTCGGCGAAGTTGACGGAGACGGTGAGGTTATTGAAGTTGGGGAAGGACATGAGGGTTGCCCCGGCGGAGGAGGAGGTGCCGGTGAAGAGTCTCTCACTCGGCGTCCCCTCAGATGCCTGCCCCGCACTTCCCTCGCCCGCCTCCGTCTCTCCTGCCTTGGTGAACTGTTTGTCCCGGATGTTGTTATAGTCAAGGATGTCTTCCATGCGTGGTGGTGCTGCTGGTGGTGCTGCTGGTGCTGCTGGTGGCGGTGCCGGTGCTGGCTTTAATGTGGTCTGGAGTCTGGCAACTGTTCGGCCTGTCGACACGGATGCCAGAAACATGACAACTGCTATGTCTGCCAATGAAACAAGGTGAGGTTAGTATACACTCTCTCTCTCATTTATTGTATTGCACAACATTGACAAATCATCAGAGGAGGTAATGAAGGTGCCAGAGGATCTATAGACATAGATCTATAGATCTAGGAGGTGGCCAAGTCCCCCCCTAAGGATATTAAAGATGGCCGCTCAGACTGCGACCAAACTTCCTACCGTTATCTGCAGTACTTCACCCCTAGAGTACAACGGTCATGGGGACCAAACCACACATCTGATGATGGAGAAGCGACGACGTTTCGGACCGTCCTGGACCATTATCAAGTGAGATGACTTAATGGTCCAGGACAGACCGAAACGTAGTCTCTGCATCTTATAATGTGGGGTTTGGTCACTATATCTTCAGCTATGTTATGGTGATTCATCGTCTACAGCTGTCATTATAAGTCTGAATGGTCCCCAGGCATACATGCAACTGAAAACTCACACCCCAGAAGTGACTCGAACCCATACTGCCAGGAGCACTATGCAACTGGTGTACAGGGCACCTTATCCACTCGACCATCACGACCGGACAAAAGCTGATGGTAGCCGAGGCTATTTGCCCATCAGCCCGCCGGCACTCTGATGGTAATCTTGGGCATAGTATTTTATCAAATCAAGGTGTGCCCCGAAGAATGAGGTGATCGACTATCAACTAATTGCATTGGTTGACAGTCGACTGAAAGGTGGTGTCCAGGAGCCGAAGCTCAATCTTGAAGCACCAACAGCTGAATACACGTGCAGGCAGACGAGGTAACCCCCAGCTACAGGAAGTGCGAGATTAAACACACTCAAGACAGCACAAGAAACCATGTCTTCACCAAACGAGTTGTGTAGTCGGACCGTGTGAGACCCCCAGCACAACTCCTCTACACCACTCTAGGAGTAGATACGGAAATATTACACAGGAGAGATATGATAACGACGTACATAATACTCTGGGGTGTCCTCAAGAACAGAACATAAACAATATGAGAGAAGTACGATTGAAAACATATATGAACCTTAGTATTGAGTGGAGTGACGGACACACACACATACATATACTGTATGTGTGTGTGTGTACTCACCTAGTTGTGTTTGCGGGGGTTGAGCTCTGGCTCTTTGGTCCCGCCTCTCAACTGTCAATCAACTGGTGTACATATTCCTGAGCCTACTGGGCTCTATCATATCTACATTTGAAACTGTGTATGGAGTCAGCCTCCACCACATCACTGCCTAAAGCATTCCATCTGTTAACTACTCTGACACTGAAAAAGTTCTTTCTAACGTCCCAAATGAGCCACAGGGACGTTAGAAAGAACTTTTTTTTCAGTGTCAGAGTAGTTAACAGGTGGAATGCATTAGGCAGTGATGTGGTGGAGGCTGACTCCATACTCAGTTTCAAATGTAGATATGATAGAGCCCAGTAGGCTCAGGAACCTGTACACCAGTTGATTGACAGTTGAGAGGCGGGACCAAAGAGCCAGAGCTCAACCCCCGCAAACACAACTAGGTGAGTACACACACACACACACACACACACACACACACACACACACACACACACACACACACACACACACACACGAGACGAAACGTTGAGTGCGAAAGGGGCGTTGGTCTAGGCTCAGTCCTCTGATGGCATCTGGTAGACTCTTAAATCCCTCTCCTGGTAACTTGACTCACAGTCATACACGCACATGTAGTTACTTGACTGTATTCACACCACCTGGTAACTTGACAGACATACACACACACATGTGATAACTTGACAGCATACATGCACATGAGGTAACTTGACAGTATTCACGCACACCTTGGCAGTCATACACGCACATGGGATAACGTGATTCACAAATCATACACGCACACTTCACACGTATTTTCATCACTATTCATCTCAGGCGAATATTTGTAAACGTTTGATGATCTCTCACTAACAATACCCTGGTTGTCCTTACCACGGGCGTGCATGATTAGTGGTTGGCTTGGGCGTGGGTGGAGGTGGGCGTGGGTGGAGGTGGGCGTGGATATGAAAATACGAGGCGTCGAGCAGCGTGTGTAAAGACACAAGGCAGGTGCAGCACGACACAACAGCCTCCCCCAACACCAAGCGCAGCACTGACTGATCCATTGCCTGTCCCCTGCTTTATGTAAGGCTCAGCCAGTCGTGCCCCGACTCTCCATTACCTACACCCCCCCTCCTCCTCCTCCTTCCTTCTTCACCAATTGCCTCGTTTCTCATGCCCTCCCTGTTTTCGAGGTCAGAGCCTGGGTCAGCCACTCGACTTTCTCCACATTTGGCTCTCTTCCTCTCTGTTTCATTGCTTCCTTCCTTCTTCCGTTTTCTCCTTGTAATTTCTTTTATTCACAACTATTAGCGTGTCTGTCACTGTCTTCACACTTTTTACTCTGATTGTTTTCAGTCTTTTATCTCTCTCTCTCTCTCTGAGAGGGGCTGAACTCCAGGCGTCGCTCCCTGGAGTTCTGTTGCTCATATTTTGACATTCGTTGCTTGAGGCCTCGTCACAGTCTGGGGCTGTGATGTGACATTGATCCTTACATCTCTCTCAAGGCAACGAATGTCCTCAAGATAACGAACCACCTCTGTGTAGCGGAACACCTCAAGGCACCGAACCTCCACAAGGTAACCCTCGAGAAACAGAATGTTGATTCTTCGAATTTTGAAACATTACTGAATGTTGATTCCAATAATCAACATTCAGATGAATTCGACTTTGAGCACACAGTTGTCCGACGGTCCTACATTGACCCCGAGGGAAGACAGCAGACCTGGCGGACAATTAGAAGCTGTATTCAGACATCAATCACCTCACCATAGCCTCCGGCGCTGCCTACAATATGATAACCAAACAATATACCAGAAGATGGAGAGACGACGACCTTTTGTCCCGTCCTGGACCATTATCAAGTCGATTGTCAAGTCACCGAAACGTCGGACAGAAACGTCGTTGTCTCTCCATCTTCTGGTGTGTGTAGGTGGTTGGTCATCATATCTTCAGCCACCTTATTGTGACTCAACGTCTGCTGCCTACGATTAAGGAGGTTAGCGGAACCATAGAGTGGTTTTCTCCACTCTATGTGGAGAGAACTTCTCTCTTGAACTCTCACAAGTCAAATCTGGCCTCGGGCCGGGCTTGGGGAGTAGAAGAACTCCCAGAACCCCATCAACCAGTGACGTGACTACACTTATAAATACATATGTTACTATATGTAAGCTTAGTATACCCGTGTTTTCTGTGTATGGCGTGTATTACCTAAGATGTCACATTGTTGTCGAAACGTCGAGCAATAATATGGAAAGATTAAGTGATCTAGTGTTTCTTCATCCTCCAGATGGTAGAAGATATTTGTGTAGAAGGGAAAATATCCGAAAGAAAATTAATAATAGTCACAATGCTGTTGTGTTTAATGACATATATATATATATATATATATATATATATATATATATATATATATATATATATATATATATATATATATATATATATATATCGTTGAAAACGACAGAAAGTTTTAAATTTATGATTCTGGTACGAATTTTCTTGATATTCCTTATGTTTTTCTGGAGCAGGAAGATTAAAAATTAATTTTCAAAAGTTAATTTTTACTTTGTCACATCTCACATTCTCGAAGACAAATTCTACTGTGTTGTTGTTGTTTTAGATTCAACTACTCGGAACAAAAAGTTCAATGTAGCACGGACTATGGTGAGCCCGTAGTGGACTTACCTGGCACAAGAACGGTGCTGTGTTCCACTGTGCTAAGCACCTGGTTATATCTTCTTATGGTGAGGTGGTTAGGTGACATATGGATGAATAACATTACATGTGGGATATTAATAAGTTATTAAATGTATCAACATAGAGTGTGACATGTTGACAGCTTATGTTCTTCAGGCTGCTTCCGTTCCTGTTGCAGGGTCATTCGGTCCTGTTTCTGCGTTGGCTCGGGGTCTTGAAGTGGGTAGAGTGTAATTGTGTATTAACTGGTTATTGATTACTGGTCTAGATATCTTGATATGCAACGCTTCACTGATCTTCTATTGTCATTGTATCTATCAATTATTTCGGTGTTGCTTGTCAAAGCTTCCTGCTTCAGAGAAGAAAATCATAAGGAATATCGAGAAAATTCGTGCTAGAATCATAAATTTAAAACTTTCTGTTGTTTTCAACGAAATATGTTTAAAAGAAATACTGCTACTAAAATATACTAATATATATACATAAATGAAAATAATTTTGAGGCAATAGAGTGGCTTGGACGCCTGCCTTAACCGCTCGGCCAAGGTGGTACAAAGTTAACCAACCCAGAACCCCACTGAGTTGTCTGGGAGCTTCTGAAGCCCCTAAACAGGGGGCCAAATTAGGTTTCATAGCCAACCTGACCACACTCGGGCCCACGGTAATGACGCTCACACTCTTACGCCCCAGTCAGATCACTGGGACGTGATATATCAGTGACAATCATTCTGAGGCAATGGAGTGACTCTGATGCCTGCTTTAACAGGAAATTCCCAGAGAACTCTTGTGACGTTTGAATGTGTGTGTGTGTGTGTGTGTGTGTGTGTGTGTGTGTGTGTGTGTGTGTGTGTGTGTGTGTGTGTGTGTGTGTGTGTGTACTCACCTAGTTGTACTCACCTAGTTGTGTTTGCGGGGGTTGAGCTCTGGCTCTTTGGTCCCGCCTCTGTGTGTGTGTGTGTGTGTGTGTGTGTGTGTGTGTGTGTGTGTGTGTGTGTGTGTGTGTGTGTGTGTGTGTGTGTGTGTGCGCGCGTTCGTGCATTAAAACTCCATATTACAGGTTGTGACTGGAACATGGGGGCCAAGCATATTCTCCTTTCTCTAGGTATCTGGATCACGTCCACAGAAGGGGCGCGCACTCTCCGTGCTGAGGGCCTGCACCTTTACATCTGGTTTGCCAATATTGACGGTATTTCCGCGTGAACCAGCTACAGGGTCTGTGAAACACGCCCTGATGTTGTAGCAGTAAGTAGCACATAAATAACAGTGCTACTTACACACAAGCAAGGTGTCCCGGAGGCTCCTCAATCATCATAAAGCATATGGACGGAAATATAAAGAAGTGCAAGTGAGGAAGTCTAAACTTACAGACTTTGTGGCAGAAGTTTACGAGGTAAAGTGGCAGTGGCCGCGGCAGTCAGCAGCCCACCGGAGAACACCAGAACACCCAGACAAGAAAATATAGCAAGTAAAAAAGGCATAATGAGCATGATACCAGGCGCAGGAGCAGCAGCAAGTGGTCGCAGAATGAGGGCAACACTGTAGCCGTCACACAGTGGACCTGATATAAACAGATCAAGGTCGGCGAAAGTTGCAGAAGGGAACTTCCTAATACAATATACCATGTTAGAATAAATACATGCTGTGGGAGGGGGCGAGGGGCGACCATCCAGGCCAGTTGCCTCCCCCTCCCCCTCCCAGTGACACGCTTCTGGTCGACGTTGGTGAGAAAGAAGCCTGTGCTTAGGCTTGTGTTGACCCCCCCCCCCCTCTCTACGTCCCTAGGATGCAGCCCACATTATAATTATCTAGCAACAGGGTATCTATCTTACTGGTAGGTGAACAGAGCCATCAGATGATATGAAACGTGCCCAACTGTTTCTGTCTTGCCCGGGTACTGAACCAGGATTGTCAGTTGCAGGTTCCATTTGACGGACAGTGATATAATAAACCCAAAATATCCACTAGGTCGCCCCATAAGTGTACAGATTGAAGCTAATATTAAGGATAGGAAAGCTGAGGATGAAGAAGGCATGAAGGACTTCAGAAGACATGAAGGAAGGACTTTAGAAGGCATGAAGGAGGTCCGGGTGAGGAATGATGTGCTTCCCTCCTTCCCGACCCACGACGCGGCCTGCTGGACTCTTGACTCGTTTGTTGTTGTTTAGAAACAGCTTCTCGGAACAAAAGTTCGAAGTAGTAAGCTCGTCGGGACTGTGGCGTCCAGAAATATTCAGAAGAAAGCTCAACCATCGAACAACTCCACGAACAATCCTAAAATGTGGAATATTTTGGAACATATTCTCCCACAGGTTAAGACTGATGATGTGGTTTAGGTAATATACTAACCCGTGGGAGGGAGTCGTTGGAGCCCCTTTCTTTGTTTGTTGACAAAAGTGGGACTCCCATGGCAAATTACCGTTTTCAGATGTTTCGGGGTTCATTTTTGGTAATGTCATGACACGGTGACAAGGAATGTTGCTTTGGATCTTCTCTTGAGTCAGACCTTTGTTTAGGTCTGTAGTTTAACAGTGAGACAGATGCTATTAAGGGTCAATTCATGAAAATCTATTATCTAAGGGCAATTTATGATCAAGTGCTGCTCTTGATGAACAGGTCAATCCCGAAACCGAGTATAGAAATGCCATACTGCGTTGAATTCCTTACTGCGTCGAGCTCGAATGCATTTCCCATCATTAATAGAATAGTAGCAACTAAAAGGCGGGGCCCAGAAACTGACATACCTCCTCTGTGCATTCAGGTGTACAAATGGTTTGATGGCCAGATGTGCAGCATCCGGGAGAGATGCTGCATGGCAGGTATGTATTTGGTGGGATGTTACCTTTTTTGTTAGGCTATCTCTTCTGAAGAGCGCTCGCTCGCGAGGCTTCACACACCAACCAATCCTAATGTTTGAACTACAACTATATTTACATATTGAAAAGTTCGGTTTGGAACTAAATCATTTATGAAAAAATACGATGTTGCAAAAAAGAAAAAAGTGAATACAAAAATATTAAAATGTTGCAAAACTGAAATTAAAAACAACTTAATTCAATCTAGGCATAACCAAGCCTAACCTAACCTAATATTAAATATAACCAAGCCTACCCTAACCTAATCTAGGCATAACCAAGTATACCTAATCTTGGCATAACCAAGTATACCTAATCTATTCTAAGTACAACCTAGCCTAACCTAACTTAATTTGAATATAACCAGACCTAGCTTAACCAAACCTAATCTAGCCTAACCTTGGCCCAGAAGGAATATATTAGGTTATCTTAGGCAAAAGGATGCTAGATTCTTTCCTATTATGTTAGTTCGTTTT